GCTCCATCCTTTTCCCATCCCCTCCTATCCCTTCCCCCTCCCCATCCCCCTCTTCTCCCTCCCTTTCCTCTTTCTTCCCCTTTCTCCCTCTTTCCTTCCCTCCCCTTCCCCCTCCACACATCGTAAGGTTGAGTGGACCCCGACCAAAAAGACCCTCACATACCTTCCCCACCCCCTCCCCTCCCCTCCCACCGTGCTCTTCATACTCACTTTTCATCTTCTATCTCTCTCTCTCTCTCTCTCTCTCTCTCACCCTGTTTCTCATCTTCTTCTCTCTCTCTCTCTCTCTCTCTCTCTCTCTCTCTCTTCTCTCTCTCTCTCTCTCTCCTCTCTTCTCCTCTCTCTCCTCTCTCTATCTCTCTTTCTCCTCTCTCTCTCTCTCTCTCTCTCTCATTTATCTCTCCCATCGTCTCTCTCTCTCTCTCTCTTCTCTCTCTCTCTCTCTCTCTCTCTCTCTCTCTCTTCTTCTCTCTCTCTCTCTCTCTCTCTCTCTCTCTCTCACCTTGTTTATTTATCTATTTATCTCTTCATTTATTTATTTATCTCTCGATCTCTCTCTCTTGTGCGGTCGGTGTCTTATGATTGAGACAATGGCTGTGATGTCGGGTTTTACGAGTGTTTTTTTTTTTCTTATTTACTTTACGGTTTAAGTGCCATGGGGTGTTGGATTACGGGACGGGTGGTGTGTAATATTCGATGTGCTTTATGGCGTTTTGTGTGAATACTACAACAACAACAACAACAACAGCAGCAACAACAACAACCAACAAAATAATACAACAAACTGCAGCACAACATCAAAATAACAGCAAGAACAACTCAACAACAACAGTACAGCAGAACAACATCAACAACAATAACAATAACAACAACAACAACAATAACAACAACAGAAACAGCGTCTTGCGAAATTCAGGGACTCAGGTAGAGCTCGAAGCCCGTGGGTTTGGCCTTCCACGTGGGCGTCTGCGGTGATGGGCGCGGGCGGTGGAGTGACCATTCTTTTTTTATTATTTATTTTTTATTTCTCTCTCGCTCTGTGAGGACTCTAGGAGAGGAATTTGTGCTCCGCTGCCTCAGTCGTTGTGTAGTGTTCAGGTGATGTTTTTTTGTTATGGAATCCACTCGGTCCTTTGGGAGAAATAAAGCTTTTCGAGTATCTAGTCCCTTCTTCCTCTCTTCCTCTCTCTCTGTCTTGTCTTCTGTCTGTCTGTCTGTCTTCCTTGTCTGTCTTTCTTTCTGTCTCTCTGTCTGTCTTCCTTTCTGTCTGTCTGTCTGTCTGTCTCTCTGTCTCTCTCTCTCTCTCTCTCTCTCTCTCTCTCTCTCTCTCCTCCCTCCGCACCGGTCGACCTTGCCGCTAGAGATCCCGACACGTCCTGTTGTGGTGCGCTAAGGAGTGCCATTCATACGTGCATACGCGTCATTAGATGTTTTTTGAATGTGTAAATTGTAGATATTCATATCGTTATTTGTTTATGTTGTGTTCCGAATATGACACGTTTGGAAAGTGGTATAGAGAGAGGGTGGTGGAGGTTTCCGTCCACGCCGCTACGTCCAAAATGGCGCTGCTGGTTGTCACAAAAACGCCGTTGACCCTGAGGTGCGAGTGGGCGCCTCCTTCCACGACCGCCTTTTGTTTGATTGTCTGAGAAACAACAGGTATGAGAGCGTCGATGAGTCTTGCGTTTGCTGTTGCTGATTATTAGCGTGATTTTGGTACGTGGGATTGGAATGGGTTTCGGGCGGGAAGGTGTAGAGAGAGAGTCGCCCACAAGAGCCTCGTGTGTAACTGTTCGTGGGCGCGGCCTCGTTGTCTCCGCCGCCCACGTCGACTTTTGGGAACTCCGGGGCAGGTAGAATCTCGAGGGACGCAGATGGCGCTGTGAGGACGTCGAAGGAAAGGAATTTCTGCTCTGCTTCCTCCCGTCGGTATGCAGTACGAGGTGACGCTTTGTCATGGAATTCACTCGGACCCTTTGAGAGAATAAGGCTTTTCGTGAGTATCAAGTCCCTCGGCGCATTTGTAGCTCCGCGTCCGGGTTCAGCCATGACGCAGCGCCGCCGCCCCGATGCTGGCGTGAGCTCATTGAGGGCAACTGGCTTGATTTATCCCCTTTACAAAGAGGCTAAACGAACGCGCGATCGGAGCACTCGGAGCCACGTGGAAAGGGGAGGGAAACGCCGCTTGCTCCAACCTCGATGACGGGAGATGACCACGTCGTCGTCGCCGGGGAAGAAAGCGACCGAAGGAGGAGAGGTCCCGGCTGGAGGGGCCGAGCGCCGTCCAGTCCAGAGCCAGTCTTCGTCCCCGGTGTCCCGGTTCACCTATGACTCACTCGAGCCGACCGGGACGGCAGCGGGGACGAGGGGAAGGGGGAGGGGGAAGAGGAGGGGGGGGGCATGGACAGGTGGGGCACGGCGATCGGAAAAGGAAATCAGATGAGCCGTATTATGGGGCATTCTTTGCTCTGTGCACGGAGAGCGAGGCGGTTAATTTCTTCTCCGGGATGGGGGGAGGGGAGAGGGTATGGAAAGGGGGGGAGTGGAAGAGGGAGGAAGGGAGGGTATGGAAGAGGGGAGGGGAGGGGAGAGGGGGAGTGGAAGAGGGAGGGAGGGTATGAGAGGGGGAGGAGGAAGGAGTGGAAGAGGGGGAGAGTTGGGTCGGGGAGAGGGGGAAGGAGTAGGGCAGGGAGAGTGTAGGAGGAAGAGAGGGGGAAGAAAGGAGGAAAAAAAGGGATGAAAGAGAAGAGGAGAGAGGAAAAAGGGGTGGAAAAGAGGGAAGGAGTGGGGCAGGGAAAGTGTAGGAAGAGAGAGAGGGGAAGAAGAAGGAAGGAAAGGAAGGGATGACGGAAATAGCGAGAGAGAAGAAGTAAAGGGGTGGGAAGAGGGAAGGGGAGAGGGAAAAGGAGGAAAGTGAAGGGAAGAGTAAAGAGGGGGTGGGGTGGAGGGTAAACCGCTAAAGAGAGAAAAAAACAGAAAGGGAAATGAGGAAGAAGGTGGAGGGGGACAGGGGAGAAAGGAAGAGAAGGAAAGAGAGCGAGAGAGAGAGAGAGAAAGAGAGAGAGAGAGAGAGAGAGAGAGAGAGAGAGAGAGAGAGAGAAAAGAGAAGAGAGAGAGAAAGAAAGAAAAGAAAGAAAAGAGAGAGGGAGAGAGAGAGAGAAGAGAGAGAGAGAGAGAGAGAGAGAGAAGAAAAGAAGAAAAAAGAGAAAGAGAGAGAGAGATAGAGATAGAGATATATAAGAGAGAGAAGAGAGAGCAGCACAAAGGGCGAGGGGCTGGGGGTACGACACACCCACATCTCCTGCAGGAAGTAAACGAGTTCTCCTCAGCCAACAGCATCGCCTCCCCGTCGGTGCCTCCCTCGTGCCCCGAACCCCCTTCTCGGCCTCCCTCTTGCGCCCTCTCTGTTAGTTTCTTCTCCCCCTTTGTTAGCTTCGTCTCCCTCTTCGTCTGTCTCTTCTCCGCGGGGCGCCGGGTGCAGTTTGTTTACCTGTGTCGAGGGGAGTTGAGAGGAGAGGTACAGAGGGAGAGGAGAAAGGAAGAGAAGAAAAAAAAAGAAAAGAAAAAGATAGAAAGAGAGAGAGAGAAAGAAAGAAAGAGAGAGAGAGAGAGAAAGAGAAAAAGAGAGAAAGACAGAGAGAAAGACAAAGAGTGAGAGAGAGAGAGAAGGAGAAAGAGAGAAAAATAGAGAGAGAGAAAGAAGCTGGCCCGGAGATTCGTCCCATACCTCGTTCCGACTATTGCCAGGGTACCGTTAACCTGAGGCGGCCCTCCGTGTGACTCGCTCGGGGTTGCATGCCGGCCACCATCCTTCGGAGTCTTGATGAGAATTGCAATGTTGCTCGGTTTTCTTGCCCTTTTTTATCTTCTTCTTCTTCGTCGTTGCTTTCCTTGGGAGTCGATCTGGTATTAGTATGCTCACTCAGGTCGGGGTTTCTGTCGTTGCGAGGTGGCGGTCGGACAGGTCGTTCGTCTTAGCGTGGCGTTTTTCTCTCTCTCTCTGTGTCTTTCTTTCTGTGTCCTCTCTCTCTCTGTCTTTCTGTCTCTGTGTTTTTCTTTCTTTCTCTCTCTCTCTCTCTCTCTCTCTCTCTCTCTCTCTCTCTTCTCTCTCTCTCTCTCTCTCTCTCTCTCTCTCTCTCTCTCTCTCTCTCTCTCTCCTCTCTCTCACTCTCTCACTCACTCACTCTTCCTCACACACATCACTCCTCCCCCTCTTACCCCACACAAACACACTTTCGCCAAGGATTCCATTTCCTCCTTCGATAAGGAGACACCCCCCCAAACACCCCCTCTCCCCCCCCCATTAAGGAGGAGGAGGAGGCGAAGGAGGAGGCGGAGGAGACGCACATCCTCCGGCCTTTCCCTAATCACCAATATCCTTCGAGATCCTGTTTGGTTAAGTTTGGATTCGGTGCGCGGGATTAAGGGGTGATTACGTGATTGGGGGTTGATTAGGGGGGGGGAGGGGTGATCAGCTGTTTCCGATGGAGGTCCTGGAATTTGGCTCGTGGAATTTGGCCTAATTGCGCAGGGGGGGGGGGAAGTGGGGGGTGATCGGGGTGGTGATTATGTTATTAATACGGCCTATGAGGTTTAATTGGGTTTATGAGGCTGTGAGAGTAGATGGACGCTAATTGTGTGATTGATATGAGGATGATGGGGTTTGTGAGGATATGAGGGTAGCTGGATCCATGAGGACTGATAGTTAATCGATTTATTTAAGGTGTATTGGCGAATGGGGTTATTAAGATGTATGAGGAAGTGGTATTGTTAAGATATGGGTCACTGGATTTCGCAAACGGCATGAGTAATTCGATTTATTAAGGTATGAGGATAACTGGATTTAGGAGGACTGGATTCGTAACGTTGTGGGGGGTATAAATGGACTCATTAAGATGCTATGAGTGACTGTATTTAAATAGGTCCTTGAGTTATTTCATTTATTAAAATAAATAAAAATGAATAAAATGAATAAAAAAGATTAGATAAAGAGTGTCTTAGAGTAACTGGATTGATAAAGACGTAAGAATAACTGTATTTAACAAGGTGTAAAAATTAATTAGTTAAAATTAATTAACTAACGGGATTCGCGAAGGTGACCGAAGAGTATTAAAACGGTCACTGGATTTAAATCATGGATGGGATTTCTGTGCTTAGAATCCCTCGACGTGTGGGATTTAGGGATTTGCGGGCGGGATTCCCAGCGTGGTGGGTGTGCAAGGGCGCGTTTGGCAAGGGTGTTATGCTGATGAGCTGCGGGCGGGTTCAGTTCGGTGGACGGGTTGGCACAATGGGTTCCGGTGCAGCGGCGGGTGTGTGTGGGCGCGGGGAGGGAGGGGAGGGAGGGAGGGAAGGGGAGGGGGAAGTGGAAGGAGGGAGGGGCGGGAGGGAGGGAAGGAGAGATGGGTCGAGGGGAGGGGACAGGGAGGGGAGGATAGCGAAGAGGGAGGAAGGGAGGGAGGGGTAAGGGGGAGGGCAGTGAGGGAGGGAGATGAGGGGAGGGAGGAGGGCAGAGGGAGCATGATCTCGAGGGGAGGGAGGGCGACAGGAGGGAGGAGAGGAGGGAGTGCGAGAGCGGGTGAAGGACCGGGCTTCACCTCCCGGAGCTGGTCCTGGGTCGCTGCCAGGCCGTCAACATGGTCGACTGGTCGCGCCCTCGCCCCCTCCCCCCTTCCACCCTTCCCCTCCACCTGACCGGAAGTGCAGGTGAGAGGGAATTTCATCGGCTTCTCCAAGAGGGTGTCCATGCTGGGGGGTGGGGGGGGGAGATATATATTACATCGATGTTGTTATGGAGATATACATTACATTTACGTTTCTATGTTATCTCATGTTCCTGTCATTACTTCGTCTTCTCGTCTCTCTCGTTCGTAGCAGAATGAGACGAGATGATTTATTAGTTTTCTTCTCTCTATTCCGAAATCAGACGAGATGATTTATTCGTTTTCTCTCTCTTATTTTTTCTTATTTTCTCCACGAAGACCTGAGGGCGTGAGGTCAGAGCGCGGTGCCAGATGAGGATGGTGACGCTGACGAACCTCCTCTGAGGGGGATTACGGCCTTCGCTGGGGGAAGGGAGGGGAGGGAGGGAGAGGGGAGGAGGAGAGGAGATGGAAGGGGAAGGGGGGGGGAAGGGGAGGGAGAAGGGAGGGGAAGGGGGAGGGAGAGGAGAGGGAAGGGAAGGGGAAGGGGAATAGTGGAGATGAGAGGACTAAAAGAGAGAAGGAGGAGAGGAGGGGATGGGGGGGGAGAGAGAGGGAAGGGGAAGAGAAGAGGAAGGAACGGAAAGGAGAATAGAAGAGAAGAGAAGGAAAAGGAAGAGAAGTGAAAGAAAATGGGAAGAGGAAGGAAGGGCAAGAAAAGGAGAAGGATAGCAAAACCAAGCCAAGCCAAGCCACGCAGAGGGCCGAGGAGCGAAGAGGCCGGCCTCGTGGTCCCAGCGCCCCTGCTACCGCCCCGCGCGCCGAGACTCCAGAACGACACAGACGAATTCCGAATAATCTGAAGCTTCCTTTGCCTGAGACTCGAATGACTCAGAGTCGCGTGGGGGACTCTTCGGGAGTCAGGTAGTGTCGTCCGTGCGCATGGCTGGCCTCGCTGAAAGGAGAGGGAGAGGGAGGGAAGGAGGGAGAGGCAGGGAGGGAGGAGGGGAGGGATGGGAAGGGGGAGGGAGAGGGAGAGAGGGAGGGAGGGAGGGAGAGAGATTGACAGAGAGAGAGAGAGAGAGAGAGAGACAGACAGACAGACAGACAGACAGACAGACAGAGACAGAGAGAGAGAGAGAGAGAGACAGAGACACAGAGACAGAGACAGAGAGAGATCTCGCTCCCTCTCTCTCTCTCTCTCAAGAGAAAAGATAAAGAAAGATTCATTTAATGTATTTGTGGCAAGCGACCAAAAAGAGATAAGAGAATGTTGCATGAATATTGCAAGAGTCTTTCCAGATTCGGCTTCGGGAGGGTAGGGGGTGTGGGGGTGAGGGGAGGGGGTGGGGAGTGAGGGGAGGGGGTGAAGGGGTGGGTAGGTAGAGGTGGGCGTGTGGTAGGGGTGTGTTGGGGATGCGGTGAGGGGTGGGGGGTGGGGAGGGTTGGGGTGAGGAAGGGGGGGTGTATGGGGTGTCTGAGAGGGGATGGTGGTTCCGGATCCGCTCTCGAACCGTGTTCCGTTTCGCCGTTCGTGGAAAAGGGTTGAAGGTCGTTCGTGTCGTCGTTCGTGTCACGTGACTACTGTGGCTCCGACGAGGGAACGACCGGTCGCCTCCGTGTCTCTGAATGTCTTTTTTCTTTTGTTCTTGTT